TATGTAAGTGCACCTCTGTTGTGCAATGCCAGGGGGAGTCAGAAGAGGGCGTTGGAGCCCCTGGAACTGGAGTTACAGATGGTTGTTAGTCACCATGTGGGTTCTGGGAACCAAACCCAGGTCCTCTGCAAGAACAGTTAGTGCTCTTAGCCGCTGAGCCATCTCTCCAACCCAGTAGAGGAAATTTACAGCTTTTAAATAAGTATATTAAAAGGAAGAAATTTGCAAATTAATGAGCCAAATGTGTGGTATAGTTGTCGGGAAAAGAAATACTAAAGCAGTAATGTTTTAGCTACAAAACTGAAAGACAGTCTGAGAAGTAGAGGTCAGTCCCATTCCATATGGCCACTGAGAGCTAACTTTGACAGCCACTGATGAAGGAAGAGCTGTGCATCAGACATGATTCTAACTGTCAAGATGCCTGTGTGATTGAAGGAATGAAGAACCAGGGAGAAGGGGGTGAAGAAGAAAATTTTATGGGCTATACTATTTTTTTAATTAATCAAATTAATTCGTGTATGTGGGTGTATGATGTGCGTGCATATATGCATGTGGGTGCAGGTATGCATATGGCACAGCAAGCATGTGGAGGTCAGAGGACAATCCTGGGAGTCAGTCGTCACCTTTCACCTTGTTTAGGACAGGGTGTCTTGTTCACCACTCACATACCAAGCTTGCTGGCCCTTGAGCTTCTGTGAATTTTCCTGTGTCTGCCTCCATCCCACTAAACTCATTAGGGCAATACAGAAAAATCAACAAAGTGTGCAACGGGGATTTTAGAGAATCATCTGTGTATCACAACAGACAGATATCCCAGCTCTTTTACAAGCCAAACCCACACTGAATAGTCACCTTGGAATTTTTTCCCATTTGTTTTAATTGTGTGTATATGTATGCATCTGTGTGTGGGATGTGCACATGAGTGCAGGTGTCCTCGGAGGCCAAAGGTATCATCAGATCCCCCAGGAGCTAGAGTTACAGGCAGTTGTGAGCCACACTGTTACTGGGAATTGAACGCTGGTCCTCTGGAAGAGAAACAAGTGCTCTTAACTGCTGAGCCCGTTAATAGTCACCTTGAAGTAAGCCTTAACAATTACTTTAGAATGAATGTCATACCAAGGCTTTGGTTTTTACTGTATAGGGGGGAAAGCTACTCCCTTCTTCTGTTAGAGGGAGTACAAATTCATAGCCAAGATCAGAAACCATTCCTGACCACATAGTTAAGGTCTTCAAGTGGTATATGCTGCTCTGTTCACACTTAGGGATCTACAATTACACTACAGAGATGATTGTGGGTGTGCAAATCCTTAGCTGACAGTAAAAATTAAGCAACTTTAAATAAATTATAATGGTACTACTGAAAATAGTAGTACCACAGGAGAATATTTAATAACATGATTCATGACATTCAGTGATGCAGGTAAATGACAGAAGAATAATTCAATGTCCATGTGTGTAGAATGCCTGGGAAAGGGCCCACCTGCACAGTATTCATGCTGACTGTCTCTGGGAGCTGAAATTAGGAGTCTCCTCTCTCTCTCTCTCTCTCTCTCTCTCTCTCTCTCTCTCTCTCTGTTTCTAAACTATATTTAAATGTGTACTAGTTGTATGAAGCAAAGGAAAGATAAGGGAAACAAGATAAAAGATATTAACCCTATATTTAAATTTCTTCTGATGGCACTGTCCAAATTCTTATTCCTTTCCTTTGCCTCTTGGTGGTGAAGTGATCCTAAGTCAGAATGATCTCTTTGAAGTTTAAGTCTATTGTGCACACTGTGCAGTCTGTGAGGTATCCACCACCCCGTGTCGCCTGTGAGGTATCCACCACCCCGTGTCGCCTGTGAGGTATCCACCACCCCGTGTCGCCTGTGAGGTATCCACCACCCCGTGAGGCTGTGAGGTATCCACCACCCCGTGAGGCTGTGAGGTATCCACAACCCTGTGCAGTGAGGTATCCACCACACTAGAATATTCAATAGCAAGCAGGAGATGATGCCAGAGATAGGATGGTTTACATTTCCAGTTTGCAATAACATTCTGAGTTTGTAAAATGCTGTAGATATTTTAGCTTAGAACTGGATGTGCACATCAGGGTTAATTAGCAATGCTTCAAATTATAGACTACTGCTGCTTCATGTACAACTAACCATTAATTAGCTACGCTAATGAAGAAAGCTGGAAATGATTGCAGGAGAAAAACGACATCAGCTGGGGGAAAGAGAAAAATACCTCATTTCAGTCCCTAGTTGCATCCACCAATTGTCAAAGTTTACCAGGATGACTTATAAAGATAAACTTTTTTTTTCAAAACTGAGGTACGAATAGAAATATTACTTGCTTAGAAGTTGCTTTCCTTTTGAGATTGTCCTTCCAAAAGTCACATCAAAGTGATAATAACAAGATGATCAAGATATAAAGAACAAGAACTAGAGGCAAAAGTGCAGCCAGTGGTTGCAATCTAATTCCCCAAGGGAGCGTTAAATAAACACCAGTTTAGAGGCCTTCCTCTAAGCTGCTTACTCTGGCCTCTCTGGGAGGAGCTGATTCGGTCAACAAGCATCCTGATGTCTCCTCACTGAGGAGCTGTTCTCCAGCACTTGTTTCTCTCTGGTTGGATCAGAAGCGAGGGAAACCTTTCCAAGGAGGTGGTCAGCCATGTCTCCTGATGGTCCAGTGTCTTTCAGTCTTTCCCTAATGGCTCTCTTCTTTGTCAAGAATTTGGATGATTTTCTCAGAAGACAATCCTGTCTCTATGTGGGAAGTGCTGAATCTTCAAACAGAATCTACCTAGAGCCATGGTAGACATTTGCATTAAAAAATAGCTCAGTGATGGAAATTGTACATACTTAGCGCCAGATGTCAGGTGCTGCCTGGAAATTGTTCTCAGTCCTTTTCACTCTCCAGGTCTGAGAGAACAGCTGTTTGTGTAGTTTTCTTTTCCTTCCTTGTACTTTTACAACGTAAAAAACATGATAGCTCACAGTGCATGCTTCCTGTCGACAGTTTTAAAAGGAAAGAACTATAAATAACACGTTAAAGCCCGCAGTTCACCATCCTCTTCCCCATTCCAGCGATGACTGTGCCACTGAAGCCTTCACCGTTCACCCCCTTGAGTTCTGTGTGTGGTAACGTACTTCTGTTGAAACTTTTGTAAGTTGCTTTTTAATCTTAACCTTATGTTTTAGACTTTTTTTTGAGATATGGTCTCCCCGTGTGGCTCGTGAAGACTGAGCTCCCGCCTCTCCCATCCTGTTACAATGCACCTCTCCAATTTGTGTACTCAGCACTTTCTCCTTGGGTGATGGCATTTTTCTCAAAAATCCTAATGTTATTTGTGTTTGTTTATTTCACCAATACATATACATGCAAGACACATCATTTTAGTAGCTAGTTTGCACTGACTGTATATTATATATATGGTGTGACAAGTACAGCATCCTATAAGGAAACAAAATAAAGCTTCCAGGTAACTGGTCCACTCTCACACAGCTAGGAAGAGGCAAGCCTGGGCCCTAAACCCAAGGCTATCTTCTTCTAAACTATTTTAAATATTATTATCTGAAATCCACATTTATTCAAACTTTCAAACATCATGTCTCATTAGACTTTTCCTGGCCATACATTTTTCAGACTTTTCCTATTTCTCTAAATACTTTTTAAAAGAATACAGTCACTCCCTCAGGCACACCAACACAGGGGCTATAATTCACTGTATTTTCAAATGTAGCTCCCATCCTCACAGCAGCCCCCTGTCCCATGGAAGACATTATAATCTTCAGTTTCTGAATATAAAAACTGACACTCAGAGAGACGGAAACTAGTGGTCCAGATCACAGAGCTACAAATGGTGCAGCCAAGATCACAAGCCAGGACTATTGGACCTGTCTCGTGTAGTTTGATTTAAGTGGCTTATACCTGTATGCTTTTTAGGACTGTGTTTGAATGCTAATAACAGATAGAGTAGGCCTTAGAGAACACGTATACCTATCTCTATCTCTCCCTCCCTCCCTCCCTTTCCTCTCTCTTCTTCCCTCCCCCCTCTCTTTTTTGAGACAGAGTCTCACACTGTAGCCCAGGATTTCATGGTATCCTCCTGCCTCAGGCTCCCATGTGCTGGGATTGCAAATGTGAACCACATCTAACCCTACTCTTAACTAGTACCTGAGATGCTTCCCTAACAACACGTTTAAGTAAAAAATCACTAGTATAATTTGTTTGCTTTCTCAGAAGCTATCTAGTCAATCAGTTCTGATGATTAGAAAACCCTGTTCCTTTAAACGTTGGCTGGTTTCTGTCTTACTGTGACTCTAAGGAACCAAACACAAGTATTTAGGAGTGCTGTGGTTGGCAGCATACTGCCCTGCAGACCCCTTTCCTTGCACACCATGGCTTGATTTGTTTTCCTTTCAGCATTTTGCTTTTGCTTTTGTTTTTTGAGACAGGATCTCACCCTGGAGCCCAGGCTATCCTGGATCTCACCATGTATCACAGGCCAGTCTGGAACTCACAGCAATCCTCCTGCTTCAGCCTCCTGAGTGCTGGGAGTGCAGATGTGTACTACCATGCCTCGTCCTGCTCATGGTGACACTTTAAGCCATAACTCTCTGAGGTTGCAAGTCCCTATATTACAGTACAGCCTTGCAGGTATCCTACAGGACCAGTGCTCAAAGACCACTGTTGACTCACTCTGAGAACCTTCATCCCTTTCCTCCTTCCCTTCCACCACTGAACATGCCCATCTCACGTCCAAAGGGCCCCAGCACTGACAGCAGCCCTTTCTAGAAAACCTCTTGAGACACTAGTTTGAAAGGTGAGTCAAGCTAAGGGGGATGTTTTTGTGAGTTTGACAAACAACTTAAAGGGCAAAAGCAGTGAGCCGTGAATGCTGGAGACAGCTCCTTTCTCCGGATCCCCCATCAGCAGGCAGGAACCCAGCTGTGATCTGCCAGGATGCACGGGGCGGGGCAGGCCCGACGCCAGCAGGGCGGGCTCCAGCGGCTGCCAGCAGAGCCTGTCGTCCAGGCTGCAGACTGCCACCGAGCCATCAGCCCTGGTCAGCTGCCCCCGAGCCCGCCCTGCCCTTAGGAGAGAGGAAGGAGGGCACAGAAGTCTTAAACACTGCAAGGAGTGCCTAGCAGCCAGGGCTGGGTCGAGGTCAGCACCATGGACAGCGCACGCGGACAAGCCAAGGTGTGTCTGGATGCAGCTGGCTTCTGGCAAATCTGGCAACGCTTTGACGCCCAAGGTGAGTCCTTCAAGTCGTTGGAAGGCTCGGTGTAGTCAGGGCTCTGCTGACGGGACCGGGAGCTCGTTCTCCTGAGTGTCTTTCCTATAGGAGATGTTGACGACTGCCTGGGTAATGCCTAGGCAGGTGGCCTTACAGATGTTTATTAGGCTTATGAGTATTCTCTCTACCCCTGCTCCACTATGTTCCCTGAGCCTTAGGTGTAGAGGTTCCACAGCAAATGTGTCATTTAGGACTAGGCATCTCACAGACACTTGTTCTCTGTGTGTGACCAGTTGTGGAACTCTGTAATAGTCCCCATCTGTTGCAAAAGGAAGCTTCTTTAGTGAGTGGCGACAGGTATACCTGTCTGTAAATATAAGGATCCATATTTAGCATAAAGAAATTTTTCTAGGGATAGGTCTTGAAATATATGACAGAATGCATGGAATCTAGTGGGTGGGCTATTGGGGGCAGATGGGAGAGGGGGTTCTAAATATGATTAAGATTTATTTTTGAAATGCACAAAAATTCAATTAAATATATTTTAAAAATAAATATATTCATAGATTTTTAAAAAAGAAAGCTTCTGAAAATTCAGGGTGTGATGAGGGGCTTACTGCCCTCCCCCAGTGATGTAGTGACACAGGGTGAATAGATTGACAAGTAGCACGACATGTGAATCGAGGCTGGTGGGCTGGGACACAGCTAGCACAGGCCAGCCTTCTGCAAATGTGATCATCTTTACTAGTGACTGTCTTGTTACCAATCCCTCACTCTCTAAGGGAGGGTAAATTTGTCAGTGTTTACCCCTTCTCTACCTCATAACAATTTTTTAAGAAATAAAATAGAACTGCTTGCTGTTTTGACTTGTTTTATTCGTAATCAAACATAAAGCACCTGAAAGGCATGTTTAAGCACAAAATTAGGATTTGATACTTACCCCTGTTAAATTTCATGGCTTCCAAAATCCTTCTTTTGTATCTAAAACTCATAGTTATTCATTGACTAAAATTTAGTAGTTTTCCTTTTCCAAATATTAATACAAACTCCAGCACAAAGCACCTGCTCTGAAAGATTCATTCACCACCCAGTCCACACCTTATCCAACAGATGTTGCTAGTCAGCTATCAAAGTAACAAAACATAGTGATGGGGTGGAGAGATGGCTCAGTGTTTAAGAGTGTAAACCACTCTTGCAGAGGACCAGAGTTCCATTCCCAGCACTCATATCAAGGAGTTCACAACCACCTGTAACTCCAGCTCCAGGGGATCTGGCCTCCGTAGCAATTAGTACTCACATGCACCCCCCCATACATATAATAAAAATAAAATGAAAATCTTTTAAAAAATTCAAAATAAAATGTCCACGGGAAAAGCACCTGAAAGGCATGTTTAAGCACAAAATTAGGATTTGATACTTACCCCTGTTAAATTTCATGGCTTCCAAAATCCTTCTTTTGTATCTAAAACTCATAGTTATTCATTGACTAAAATTTAGTAGTTTTCCTTTTCCAAATATTAATACAAACTCCAGCACAAAGCACCTGCTCTGAAAGATTCATTCACCACCCAGTCCACACCTTATCCAACAGATGTTGCTAGTCAGCTATCAAAGTAACAAAACATAGTGATGGGGTGGAGAGATGGCTCAGTGTTTAAGAGTGTAAACCACTCTTGCAGAGGACCAGAGTTCCATTCCCAGCACTCATATCAAGGAGTTCACAACCACCTGTAACTCCAGCTCCAGGGGATCTGGCCTCCGTAGCAATTAGTACTCACATGCACCCCCCCCATACATATAATAAAAATAAAATGAAAATCTTTTAAAAAATTCAAAATAAAATGTCCACGGGAAATGTCATAGAACTCTGAGATCAAGACCAAACAGCAAAGTTTGGTGGTGGTGGCACATGCCTGTGATCCCAGTGCTTGGGAAGTGGAGGAAGAAAGATTAGGAGTTCAAAGCCCTCCTCGGCTACATGGCAAGTTTGAGGCCAGCCTGGGGTACATGAGATACTGTCTCAAGCCTCTCCCTCCTATTCTTTTAGACAAATGGTATCACATTTACTCTCTATAAGTGACTGTTATTTATATTTATCTTCTTTAGAAAAAGGTTACATAGAAGAGAAAGAACTGGACGCCGTCTTGTACCATATGTTGATGAAATCAGGCACAGAGGTAAGTACTTGTAAGCATAGAGCACTCACTTAGTGTTGCTTAGCAAAATACAAGCATTAGAGTCTTGTGTTGATTTGAACCTATGATCCCACCTGACTTCGTTTCTTCCTTGCTTGTAACGTCCCTTCCTCTCCTAGAAACACAGAAATGTAGGCAGGTTTTATAAAATGTACCATACCATTAGGCATGCTGGCTACTGATTTCCACTGAAACATCTGCCGTCCACTTAGGATTGTGGACTCAGTCAACTCTAATTTGAGTGTTTCCTTGGTTACATCTCTGCTAATGGATTTTCAACCTGGAGGTAGGGTAGTTCTCTTAGACCAAAAGCTCAATTAGAGTGGAAAAGGTGTTAAGAGCTTTAAATCTCCAGGTTCATGCACATCATAATCCTTTGATAACAAGTCACAAACCATTTAAACATCACTTTCCCACTATGGCTGTAAGAGGTTGTATTGTAGATTTCTCAGAGGATGACAAACCAGGAAGTGACCGACATATTCGGAGGCAGATATAAACATAGAACAATTTATTTAGTCATCTTCTTGTTTCAGGTGGTAAATATGGCCTGGAGAGGTGTAGATTCATTCTAGAAGATTCCTGTACCCAAACAGAGGGAAAAAAGCTCACAGGGAGGCACTGTAGCCAAGGCCAGCCTGCTATGGGTTCGATGTGCAGAGTTCCCTTAAGGCAGGCTGTCATTAGAGGAAAAAAGGGCCTGGACAGCTGTGTTTACATGAATTGTTTATCTTCGGGTTTCGATCATTCTTCAGAAGAACACTGAAGGGGCACACGGTCTCACATCAGAGCAGTGAACCAGCCTGGATTTCCTACCCTCGAGGAGTGCAGGGCAAGGTGTTGGGGATGGTGCGGGCAGCTCAGAAATCAAAGCCCTCTTGGTGTGCATCTGTTTTCTCCTAGTCTGCACCTCTTCATGTCGTCCTTTGTTCTGGTCATTTCTGGACTCAGTGCCCATGATTTTGTGTCCATCTTTCTGACCTCTCTGTCTCTATCTGTCTCTGTGTCTCTCATCTCCCTGGCTCTGTCTCTTGTCTCTCTGATCTCTGTCTCTCTGATGTCTGTCTCTCTGGTCTCTGTGTCTCTCATCTCCCTGGCTCTGTCTCTTGTCTCTCTGATCTCTGTCTCTGATGTCTGTCTCTCTGGTCTCTGTGTCTCTCATCTCCCTGGCTCTGTCTCTTGTCTCTCTGATCTCTGTCTCTCTGATGTCTGTCTCTCTGGTCTCTGTGTCTCTCATCTCCCTGGCTCTGTCTCTTGTCTCTCTGATCTCTGTCTCTCTGATGTCTGTCTCTCTGGTCTCTGTGTCTCTCATCTCCCTGGCACTGTCTCTTGTCTCTCTGATATCTGTCTCTCTGATGTCTGTCTCTCTGGTCTCCGTGTCTCTCATCTCCTTGGCCCTTGTCTCTGACCTCTGCACACTTCTCAGGGTTCCCTCAGCTTTCCTTTCCTTCCTCTCTCGCTCACTCGGCTGACTCTCTAAGTTCTCTCTTGTCCCTCCTCTCCCATACTGTCACTGCTCTTTCCCTTAGTCTCTCCCATCTCTTTGTCTCAACACCTTTTGCTCTGTATTTTTTCTCTTATCAATTTCTTACTCCCAGTCTTTGTCTTTTTTGCCCCCTGATCTCACAGTCTCTCTCTCCGTCACTCTGTCACTGCCCCATGCCCTGAGCAATCTGTGAGGTGAAGGGGTGACAGGTAGGAGGCATGGAGACAGAAGCTCCTTCTCTCCTCTGAGAAGACTTCTCTTTAACCCTCATTACTGCCTTAACACTACCCATGGGTTTGACTGAGGAGGCGTCCCTCAAGTGAGACTGTCATTTCAACTTTGCCACTCAGTTTCCCAGGCCAGGATCCACTCTGAAATCCTCTCAGTCTTGTGTCTGTAAGTGTTCAGGCCTATGGCGTCTCAGGAACCCATGAATCAGACACCATTTACTTAACCATAGATGGGGATATTTGACGAAAGCAAACAGAGAAAGGTAAAACCATTCCAAAGCGTCCAAACGGGAAGGCAGGATGACCACTTCCCAAAATAGACATCATAGAGATCCCAGAAGGACTTTGAGGGCTGGAGATGTAGCTCAGTTGGTAGAGTGCTTGTCTAGCTTGCATGAAGCCCTGGGTTCGATCCCCTGCAATGCATAAGCCAGGCACGGTAGCGTATGCCTGTATTCTCAGCACTTGAGAGGTGGAGCCTGGAGGATCAGCAGTTCAAAGTCATCCTCAGGTTCATAGCAGTGAAAAGACAGCTCCAGTCACGTAAGACCCGGTCTCAAATGAGGGATTCTGAAGAACTGAGCTGATTGTCTATGAAGCTCAGTGAGAGCCCAGCCTGCATGGAGCAGACTGCTCTGTAAGGCCTCTGACAGGGCTGGGTTAACAGAACCATCAGAGCCGGGCGGTGGCCACGCCTTCAGTCCCAGCTCTTGGGAGGCAGAGGCAGGTGGATCTCTGTGACATCGAGGCCAGCCTGGTCTACATAGCCAGTGCCAGGCCAGCTGGGGCTAAGGGAGACCCCGTCTCAAAAAGATCCCCCCCCAATAGAACCATCATCTCCCGTGGCTGCTGTTTGTTACCCCAACCTCACCGTTTCTTTTCACGTGCTAGGAACTGGCCTCTTCACTAGGGCTAAAGCTAGGTAGTCCATTGCTGAGCCGCAGGCTCCATACCTTGCTCATGTATAGATGCTATGCATGTTGGTCTTTTCCTCTGCTTTGGCCCCTGAAGGGCCAATCTAAGGACGGAAGGGAGTCCCATCAAAAAGAACTCTGAGCTCTTTAGCACGAGGCACGAGAGATGGATAGTCAGGGGCTTTGAGCCTGAAAGGATAGAGTGAGGCTCTGTGCCCTCGAGCTGAAGGTGGCTTTCATGGCTTCACAGCTATTTGATTTGAAATCTAATTTTATACAATGGCCTATGTGGTTAACTTTCTTTGGGAATGGTCAGTCCAGCATAAAGAATAATTGAATCTTTCAATGGACATTTATGTTCTAGAGATGAAAACCATGGTCACTATCCTGGCACAGGCCTTAACTAAATACCTTCCTTTGAGTTGTTGGTCAGGGTGGCCCAAGAGACTCCCAGACAGTAACCCAGCATAGAACTGGGAAATTGAACAGCAGACCCCAATCTTATCTAAAGGAACATTGACAACTGATTGCTGCTAGATAAGGAACAGCTGACCCTCCTAAAACAAAGACCTCTAGATAGGCTGACTAGACTCAGTGGATGGACAAGCACTGGGTAACGGCTGGGGGCACTGATAACACAGTGGACAGTAACAGGGATGACAGAGTAGATGGGCTCCAGTGGGGGGCGTGGGAGAGTGCCATTTGGGATGCGAGTATAAAGATGAATAAGATTATTTGAGATGTTCTGTATGAAATACACACAAAAATCTATAAATAAAAATAAATAACAAAAAGGTCTACTGAACTTTGAGGTGGAGGCCTGCCCAGTTCAGTGGTTTTCCCGTATGATGCATGTGCACCTGTTAGGGTTCCCCCATGAGGCAGAACTCACAGGTGCATTGATCTATGATGGGGGCTTATTAGGAAATGGACTCGAGATCTCGGAGTGGGTGCCAAGCCCCTCTGGTAGCATGGTTCTGTCTGAGGCCCAAAGCCTCAGAGTCAGGAAAAATGATGACATAGCTTTCAGCTGGAGGCTGAATGCTTGAGAACCCAGGGAAAGGGAGCTGAGGGAAGCCCTTGAGTCCAGCTTACCTCCTGTGTTCCTTCTCTCCACCCTAAGCATGTGGATACCACTCATTCATACTGGGGGAGGTCTTTTCACTGTGTTAGTTACTACTCTCATTGATCACTCAATATATCTAATAAAAAACAACTTTAGGAAGGGTTCATTTCAGCTCCCAGTGCAAGGGCACAGCCCGTCATGACGGGGAAGTCTTGACGTTAGAGCATGAGAGAGCTGGTCACATTGTGTCCACACCCAGGAAGCAGAGAGAGATAAATGCTGGCACTAAGCTCAGTTTCTCCTGTTTAGTCCCAGACTTCAGCCCATGGGATGGTGCTATCCACATTCACACTAAGTCTTTTGTTCTTAGTTAGGCCTCTCTAGAAATGCCCTCACAAGACATGCCCAGAGGTTTGTTTCCAAATCCCAACAACTTCTCAATCAAGATTAACCATTACACCTTCTTGGTCTACACAGATTCCTATGCTAACCTCCTCTGGAAACATCTCACTGATACATAGAAATGAGGGTCAGGTTTCTAGGTAACCCTCAGTCCAGTCACTTAGCACCTAGCGTAACCATCATGTCACCCAGTCAGTCAGTCTACGGCCAAAGACGGGACAGGCTTGTCTTTGTTCAGTGTCGTGTCACACAAGGGAACTAGGTTGACAGAACATATTGGAATCATTGGAAACCCTGTTCACCTTCCACAGGGAAAGAGACCACAGCCTTTTGTCTCTGTAGGCCCACTTCAGAGGAGTCTGTGGTAAGACAGAGACATCTAACATTTACACCAAACTCCGGGCTTATAGCTTGCGATGCCAATGCACGACTCAATTCTAATCCCCACACGGTGGGAGTAACTATGGCTTTCCTCTTTCACAAGGAGGCAGTGCCGGTGGACAGTGCTGTTGGGTGCTGCGAGTGTCCACTGTGTGCATGTTCGTGTGGCGATGTGTGTCTTCTAGGGGTATTAGCCTGCCCGGCCTTCTTTCTGCAGCCTTTTTACCTCAGAGTCACCAAAGGACCAGTGACAACTCTTCAGCACCAAAAAGTTTCTGAGATCTAAGACAAATTCATCTATTATATTAGCAAGATCTCCAGTTTGTGAGAAGTTTTCCAAGCCACAGCAGCCTTTGGAGACGATCCGAGGCCACAGACCTTGCCCTGCTGGGGAGGAGGTAGACAGCAGGCAGATGCTTACCAGGGAAACCCACCACACTTGTGTGGTGTGGCACACATGATTCAGGCATCCTTTCCTCTCTCCTGACCTGAGGCTTTAGTCTCAAATCATAATGTACTTCTCCATGGTTTCCATTCGGTGGGGACTCACTTAGGGAGATACTTTTTTTAAACAAGGCCCTACACTATTGCCTGTTTACAATCGTCAAATGAATACTTTTGGTTGATGTATACACAGAGTCAGTCTGCCCAAGTCCTCTTATTTTAATCATTTAATCATTATTTTAATCATTCCCAATACAAAACCAAAGCCATCAGCCTAGCAGATGGCCTCCGTGTAGCTACAAAATGCAAATCCATTTGATTAATGGACTGTCTCGGTCACAAATACTCACGGTTTGGGTTTGCTTTTAAAAACTAAAATAACTATGCTATTTTATGTTTAGTTCTCAGTAACAAAACTTACTCCATTTGGTAAAGAGTCTTATCTGTGCTTCCGTTTATTCAAAATGAAACATATTCCTTACCATCCAGTGGCCAGGTGGGGACTTGATAAGCCATTCGTTTACCACCACCTTCTCTGGGAGGCTTTATTGACCTTCTGGACTCTAACCTTCCAAAGATACAAGCAAGCGTGAGGCCTGGTTCCATTTTGACACCTGCTGACAAGTCTGCTCATGATTAGACGGGGAAGAGGCAAATGTGGACTGACACAGGGCTTGGGGGTGTCTGTTTCTGGTGTCCACATCAGTCCCGGAAGCACGGGGAATTATAGTGATATAGAGGATCCCACAGCTCAAACCGTAGCTCAGAGCTTTTTCTACCTGGCTGCTATAGCTCAATATCAAGCATATGTTCTGAACCCACTTCCTGCAATCAGCGAGGCAGAAGTCCATTGTTGAGGGCCACATGGTCACCGTAATGCTCTGGGTCTTCCCAGAGCACCCTGAATTCCAAAGGATTGGCTTTTAAGTTTCAGGGTCTTTAGACTCAAGCAAGGGTGTCCAGGGGCCACCTGAGTTTGAAGATAGCTGTGAATGTGTCCCAACACAAAATCATAAGCTTACTTAAAAGTGGCATTTTTTTGGTAACTCAATTGCATAGTTCTCCAGGATGAGCTATGGTGACGACGGCATGTCCTAGCGTCAAGGTTGGACACACCTAACCAAGCAGCTGTTGTCAGCTAATCGTCAGAACCTGTTTGAAAAAATGCTGAATCAAGTCACCAAATTGTCCTTTGATTCTGTTTGAGCTGTTTCCCATGTGTAAACCATCTAGTTCTAGGTTTTGACAAATCCGCTAGGCTCTGACTGTCCGTGTGAGGCAACCAGAAGGGGGAATGAAACATGAACATACTTCTGAAAGTGCAGATTCAGTCTGGGTCTGCAACACCCAGCTTATCAAATCACCCTTTCTGCCTGTTTTCTCGTGGGAAACACCAAGCGTCGGGCTTGCAGATCCTTAGGGGACAGCGTCCCAACCTCTTTTATCCTTCACTCTCCTTCCAGATCACCCAGACTGATCTGGAAAAGCATGCTCCTGACTTAGTGCATCAACAGAAAAATGATTGTGGATTGGATTATTCTGTTTTTCATGTCTCAAGATGGGAAGATGGGCTAACGTGTCTTGGTACCTGTTGTTCCGGATGAGGCAGGAATAATGAACCTCTAGGTGGTTCTCAGCTCCTTTTTGATCTCAGGATGCTGATTTCCTAACACTGTCTACAGCTATTCTTGAGAATTACAGGAAGGACAGCTTGGTTAGTCCAAGGCCACCAAAGGACTGTCCTGCACGTGGATAGATGGAGGAGGTTTCCAGGGCGCACCCCAGAAGCTCAGTTACTCTCACCCCACAACAGCAGCAGGGAAAGCAGACAGTTTCCCTTCTTTTTACCCTTGTAACTCATAGCCAGTGGGCTGGGAACATCCTGGGATGGTAGTGTTGAGGAGAAATAATTTAGCATAAATTCCAACAAGGATGGACTCTTAGAAGTGTATAGGTTCACCTCTGCCTCTCAGCTCTCACATGAGAATTCCCTCTTTATTGTAGATTATATGTGTCACATTTGCTGCCCTAACCCTGAAATTCTCTAAAGAACCTGACTGAAGAGAGCCAGTTAAGCCAGGTTGGTGGAGCCACACCCTTAGTCCCAGCACTCAGGAGGGGAGGCAGAGGCAAACAGATTTCTGTGTCAAGATTAGCCTGGTCTACACAGAGAGTTCTAGGCCAGCCAGTGCTACAGAGTGAGACCTTGTCTCAAAAACCAACCAACCATCCAACCAACCAACCAAGAGAGCTGGCTGTGTAGGAAATGTTCCACGTGGAAGGAGAGATGATATCCTTTAAACTCAGTATCTCCTTCATTTCTATTTCTTTTCTTTCCTTTTTAGCTATTTCTGTCTTATGATTATTTTTCTCCACAAGAACAAAAAGAAAAGCAGCTCGGGGGACCTCAAAGCTGGACTTTTTCCCAGCACTCGGGAGGCAGAGGCAGGCGGATCTTTGAGAGTTCGAGGCCAGCCTGGTCTCCATAGCGAATCCAGGCCAGCTAGGGCTACAGGGAGAGCCTATCTCAAAAAGACAGAAAAAAAAATGTAGTAAGCCTCTGAGTTCTTGGAAAACACCAGTGTGTTCATTATAATCCAGTCTTGTCTTTCAACGAAATTTCAATATAGTCAAACTCATTCCTTTTTTAAAATTTTTATCTTATTTTTTATGTGTATAAGTGTATTGCCTGCATGTGTGTGAGTGCAGCCATATTGTGCAATGCCAGCAGAGGTGTTGAAGAAGACATTGAATCCCCTAGAACTGGAGTTATGGACGGTTGTTAGCTGTCATGTGGGTGCTGGGAACCAAACCCAGGTCCTCTGCAAGAACAGCCAGTACTCTAACCGCTGAGTCATCTCTCCAGCCCCTCAAACTGTTCCTTTAACATTCCAGTCTCTCAGTTTCTTTTCATCCATTTCTTAGCAACTTGTTAATTACAGATTTGACATAATCACTTGACATGTGGTTGGTTGTACAGGAAATCTCTGTCACAGCTGTTTCCTCTCAGAGGTAGGATCATTGAGTGGTTAGAGAAACAAGCTGCTCAGGCTGTTGCTTTGCATACTTGCTACCCTGACTACATTTTGGGGATCCCGGTGGTTTTAATGTGGTTTTATGTTGTCTCTTGCAGGATGCCCTCATGGAAGAGAGCACACAGGCTATGAAGCAGCAGTTTATGGCCATCCACGACATGGCTACAGAAGGTCGTATCCCGATGAAAGAGGTACTTTCAAGACTGAACACCTCATAGCATATTCATAAGCTGTCATTTCCTTGAAAAGACAATGCAAGCCTGGAGTGTCGAGTCACAACTGTCGTCCCAGCATTCGGGACGCCAGTGCAGGAAAAGTCCCAAACCAGCCTGGGCTACAGAACGAGTTCCAGGCCAGATAGGACTACAGAGTGAGACCTGGTTTCAAAACCCCAAACCTAAACAGCAACACAAAATGAGAGTGGGAATCCCACGTTCAGTTAAGAAGCTAGAACTTTTCGCACAGACTGTTGGCGTAGATGATATTTTGGAAGTAATTTCTCCTTTGTCATCAAAGGGTATGTGATTCCCTCCTACCCCCACGAAATAGGATCTTATGTAGCCCAGGCTGGCCTGGAACTCACTATGTAGTAGAGGATGTTGTCCAACGCTGATCTTGTTTCCACTTCCCAAGTACTGGGATCATGGGCAGGTGCCACCACATCCAGCTGTGTGAGTCTTTTATCTTATTTAGATCAATAAATATCTGTGCCTGTTCTGTGCTTGGGGTGTTGAAATGATAGAGGTCTTTCGTTCATCTGATCCAACATTTGTCTGAATATGGTGTCTCATCCAAACTGAATCTTGGCATAAGGAGACATTTACTGACTATGGATTTAAACTTCAGCACCGGCTCTCAGGAGAAGCTGGACAAATCTGTCTATAAGAAAAGAACAGAGCGACTAGGGAGGTAACTCTTGCCTCGTCTCTTCCCTGGGTTTGTCCCAGCACTGCAACAAACGCCCACCAGAAAACACCTTCGCTTACTTCTACTGAGCACCTTCTAAAGCAAGCTAGTGCCTCCACCCTGCAGTGCCTGCCACAGCCTTCTCTCCTGATCATCCTTCCCGTCAGCAACCGGTTCACTGTTTAGAAAGAGTGTCCACCTAAAGTCACACATACCTCATGCCTAATGATAGGGTATATGAGGAGTCATCCATTTTTTTTGTTGTGTAAACATCATAGAGCACGTTTAGAAGACTCAGATGGCATGAGCCTGTCCCTCAGTATGGCCTTGATTCTGACAAGGGATGTAATTGTGAAACGGTTGGCAGCCATTGGTATAACCCAGCTTACAACCTCACAGGACTGTGTGTGTGTGTGTGTGTGTGTGTGTGTGTGCAGTGTCTCTGTGTGGGATGTGTAAGTATGTCCGTGTATGTGCAAGTGTATGAGCCCATAAGCACACTTGTAAAAGCCAGAACAGGACGCTGAGTATTTTCCCCTCTTACTCTCCACCATATCTACTTGTCAGGGTCTCTCACTGAACTGGAAGCTGGTTTGCAAGGCTGGCTGGTCACCTAGCACCTAGGATCTGCTTGTGTCTACCCCTCAGAACTGGAATACAGGCACATGGTGGCCATGCCTGGCTCTTACACGGATACTGGGGATTTGAACTCAGGCCCTTAGGCCTGCGCATCAAATACGTTTACCTACTAAGCCATCTCTGTGGTCCTACAGTTTTGTTTTTTGTTGAGACAGGCCCCTAGTCTTATTTTTAAAATACCAGGGGTAGGCTGGACATAGTAGCACATGCTTTTAACCCAGCACTTGGGAGGCGGAGGCAGGTGGAACTCTGTGAGATCGAGGCCAGCCTGATTACTTAGTGAGTTGCAGGCCAGCTGGGGCTACAGGGAGTTGTCTCAAAAAGACAAAATAATAATAATAAAAGTAATAATAATAATAATAGGGATATGCTCTAAAATAATGGTGAAAAGTATATTGTAGTGAATTATATAAGCCAGTAGCATAATTGATGCTGATTTTTATTATCCAGCGTTATGTGCTGCTGCTGGACTGTGCTGCACTTCTATATGATCAGCAGTTCAGTGGGTTCGTCACATCACAAGCGCCTGAGTGGCTGGTTGCATTATGATGTGACAGCTGTGACATTGCTGGCAGACAGGAATCTTCCAGTTCCATCATAGTCTCTCAAGACCACCATCTTCTGTGCAATTCATTATTGTTGCACTGACTGAATTGTTTGATTCATGACCATGTGTTATGACAGAAGACAGAGCAGCTCCCTTATTTAGCCAATGAGAAACTGAGTCAGTTTCCTAACATCATATGACCACGGAAGTGGCAGTGTCACCTGCTTGTAGGAATGAACCCCCACAAGTCTATGAAAAAGGTACCACTCTGAGATATTTATTTCAGTTACAGTTTACCCTAGTTACTGGTTGATCTGACAAGCTAATTTTTTGAGGCTGTCATATTGATCAGCATGATTAAGAAAATCAGGAAATTTCTTCATGGAATTATATCAAAAGGACAAGATAATGTTTCTTTATAAAAAGTGGATGTGGTTTCCAGAAGCCTGCCTTTAAAAAAACAAACAAACAAACAAAAAACAACAAGCTAAACTGTAGAATGATGAGCCATTTCCATCATTTTTACTCAAAGGCAAATTATGTGTATTACCAACAATTCACATTCTAACTGATGTTAAACCTATGAATGGAGAAATAAACACCAGCATCTAGTTAAAGGCACTAGAGCATTCATGACTGGGTGCTCAGTCTGTGTTCTCTAGACCCTGGTGATGGCACCCAAATAACATTGAGAATTAATAATCGGTGATGATGCCCAGTGAATATTTCTTGACCTCATTAATGAATGAGTCAAACAGAAACTAACTGAAAACCACGCTATTGTTTCATCAGTAGAAGGCACACATTGCAGAGCCATTGGCCAGTTGCTTCTTCGTGGGGTCCTGTGAATGTGCATCACTGGGCTGGTGTTTATAGGAAGCTGATGGTGTAGACAGGGCTGTTCCCAAGGCAGAGTCTCAGGGGCCACGTCTCCCCTTTCTCTTGTGTTTCCTGCTATACTCATGACAGTTCCACTAGTCTAATTGTGGGCAATCCTGATATAGGAACCAGCCCTCCCTGACACAGCTTAGTCGCTCTAGTAAAAATTAGCATGGAGAGAGCTCACAACTAAGAGCTGAGTGAGGCGTGGGGATTACCCAAGGGTCTGGTTTGTCCACAACCCCCCTATGACACTCAACCAAACCCAAAATCAAAGTGGACTCAAAAGACCAGGCAGAAGTGAGTAGCATTTAAACGTGTGTGTGTGTGTGTGTGTGTGTGCATGTGTGTGTGGGGGGTGCACATATGTATACATGCAGGTGGCAGACAGAAGACAGCCTTGAGCTCTTATGTAGACACCATGCACCTTTTTGACTTTTTGCGACCCGGTCTCTCGGTGACCTGGAACTCACTAAACAGGCTAGGCTGGTAGGTTTATGAACCTCAAGGGTCCACCTGCATCTCTCCCCCAGGGATGGGATTATAGGTATGTGCCACGATGCCTGGCTTTTAAAAAATGGGTTCTAAGGCTGCACTAAGGACCTTGTGCTTGCAAGGCAAGTGCTTTACTGATGGAGCCATCTCCCCAGCCTGCAAACTACATTTTAAGAGTATCAATTCATTTTTAACTATGTGCGTATGTGTGTCCATGTGTGGCTATGTGCACATGAATGTAGGTGCTGGCAGAAGTCAGAACAGGATGTCAGCTCCCTGGAGCTGGAGTTACACACAGTTGTGAGCTGTCTGAAGTATGTGCTGGGAACCAAACTCGGGTCATCTGGAAGAGCGGTGTGCCTAAGCACTGAGCCGGCCCCCAGGAGTTACAGTTTGGTTGGGTTTCCCAGTCTTTGCTACACTTTGTGGAAAAAACACTGCTTCATCGTGAAGGACAGGTTCTGGAGTTGCAGGTGACCTTGTGTGGGTGGGTCAGTGTGGCGGAACAGAAAATCTAGGGCAAGTTACTTAATCTCCCCAAACCTCTATTTCATCTTTACCAACATAGCAATTGCCATGTAGGGACTGTGTCTACACAGCAGATACTTTGCTGGTTATAAATATTAGCTCATTTTACTTCCAGTCTTCACAGAAGCATCAAAGGTCAGTTTTGTATTAATGAGACAGTGGCATAATTGCCCAAGATTGAATAGTTGTTAAGTAACGGCAGTCAGAGGAATTTGTTTCTACTCTAAAGCCTATCACAGAAAAGGGGGACATTTACAGTTACCCCTCACAAAATTGGGATGTGATGAAAATCACCTGTGGCCTTGAGAATGTGAATGAGTGTGTAAAACCCACCGGGAGAGTGTCACTCAGGACTTGCTCTGAACACTGCACAAGATGTGGAGAGAAATGCTCAGAAGTTACCATTGCTTATGGGGACAAGAGAGAAGACAACATGCATGTCATATCCCAGCTAGACCCGCCAGTGTGTGGACACAGAGCTGCAACCATCAGAGACCATGTGACCATTGTTCACAGGGTAGGAGAAGCAAATCAGTCAGACTGGAGCTTATACAGGAGGCCGTCGGTTGGACCATACTTGCTTATTAGAGCATCAGCTAGATACTGATTATGAGAGTATAAAACACAGCCAACAGTCATGAATCCTGGCCATTCCTGCTTCTGCACGGGACACTGAGGAACTGCTTATCTGTAGCACCCAACCTGCAAAGCATGATGGTTAAGTGTGTACTTGTGGTTGCTGATTTGCAGTCTAGCCTCCATCACTTGATGACTGTGTGGCATTTGCAATGTCTTCATCTCTGTGTCGCCGAGTTTCTGTAATTAGATAAAATACTAATAATGCTATGTGTGTGCATATGAGTGTGGACGTGTGCATGCGTGCATTCGTGTGTGTGTATGAGCATGTGTATGCACACCTTAGAGCTGCTTGCTAAGATTAATTAGGTTAAGCTGGGTATGGTGGCTCACTTTTGCAATCCCAGCACCTGGGAGCCTAAGGCAGGAGAACTGTCACAAGTACAGGGCTCTTCCTGGCTATAGAGTGAGACTGTCTCAAAAAGCCAACAAGAAAGATATGTATTAGTTGGAATGAACCTCCGAGCCTGCTTAGCTCATTATCTTCAGCTCTTTCTGTTATCACAAAGTTAATTTCATATTGGAGGTGCTTAGAGAAGTACATGGAATGTTAAATGGTTAACGAATTCATCATCATCATCATTACTGTTGTTATTGTCTATGGTGAGCTCATGGAAGACAGGTATCTATAGTTTCATATCTAATAGGAATATGGTACTTTTTGAAAGAACCTATAGATCAATGAATCAGGGACTTAGAACTGCAAGCTGGCCTCCCCATTCCAAGAGCTCTGAAGCCTCTGCCCCATGGTATGCGGACTGTACCCTTTACTCCTTAAATGGACCCTGGCCAGAGTCACTGACGGTTTTTCTTTGGTTCCTGTAGCTTGCCAGTCTGTTCTTGTCTGAGGATGAACGTTTCCTCCTGTTCTTCCGCCTGGAAACTCCCCTGGACAGCAGTGTGGAATTCATGCAAGTGAGTGTTGATGTGTCTGAGGAGAAAGAGGACAGGGCTGCCAGTCCATCCCTTCTGTCTAGTCCCTAAGGGAGAGCTGTGCCCAGAGGACAAGGCCAAGCAAAGGAGGCCTTTGTGAGGAGCCATTGGCCTCACACACCGTGGGCTCTCTCACTGTTGGCTGGGGCTACTTCTGAGCTGGACTCTTTTAGCCTGGGCCAGAGAAAGACTTAGACAAAGGTCAGGCTGGTAGGGGGAGGATGGAATGAGAGAGTTAGAGGCTGGAAGTGGGGGACTGTACAGCTGGGGAAGCCCAGTTGTTTCTAAAGGCACAGTGCAGTCAAAACACAATTCGCTAGAGTGCTGATCCAGCCAGTGGGTTTCTTTGAATAAAAGCTAAAGCTAAAGGCACTGTTTGTGGCCCCTCTGACTTCTTTGCCCTTGGGAGACCACCCCCCCTCAGCCTCTTAGAGAGCTACTGTTCTGTTGATGAAAAGCATTGGGGAAGTTCAGTTCAGAGTTTGTCGGCACTGTTTGTGGCCCCTCTGACTTCTTTGCCCTTGGGAGACCACCCCCCCCTCAGCCTCTTAGAGAGCTACTGTTCTGTTGATGAAAAGCATTAGGGAAGTTCAGTTCAGAGTTTGTTCCAGGTCACAGCTTAACAGCTTTGTATCCAGGTTCTGCTCTTGAAATAGTTGCCATTAACTTAGCAACCTTTAAATGATTTTGTTTGCTTTCATGCAAAACTCAGTAGGCATGTGCACAGGCAGAAGAAATTTGAATAGACTGAAAATATATTCCAGTCATTCAAGAAATGCAAGATAAAATACTTATTCTTTAATTTTAAATATTTTAATTTTTAAAAAATTTTATGTGTGAGTGTACTGCCTGAACATGTAGCCATGTTGTGCAATGCCCATGGAGGTCAGAAGAGGCCATTGGATTCCTTGGAACTAGAGTTACAGACAGTTGTTAGCTGCCATGTGGGTGCTGGGAATTAAACCGCGGTCCTCTGCACGAGCCATCGGTGTTCTTAACTGATGAGTCATCTCTCCAACCAAAGTGGTAAAGAGAATAGGAAACTGAAGTCAGTAAGAAGGTCTTCAAACCGCATTGAGGTTGGCAGGCAAGTGTGTGGTATAGTCCATGGAAAGTAATTCTGCAAAAATTCAATCAGGACCCTTTGAAATGTCAGCATCTGGAGTTAATTCTTTAAAAGTGTTTTCCTTGACTTGTTGATCACACTTCTTCTGGCATGAGTCTTATGCATCTTATGTTTTCTTTAGAATGTGTTCCCTAAATGTGGTAGGGTTACTTTCAGTTAAGGCTGAGCATATGTAAGTGGTTAGGGATGAACAGAACATTCAATGAATTCTGATGTACATGTATGATTTGTTCACACCATAAATGCTTATGACCACTGTGCCATGTCATGACCCATTCTACAGGTGCATTAGAGAAAAATCCCACTGCTGAACATTATGCATCCCTCATGATCGCATTTCCACTGAATGACAGAGGAGCTGTGATATCATAGTAAGAAACACAGTTGTGCATACAATGTGATCTTAATTTTGTTTAAAACTCTGTTCACCCAGGGGCCAGGGTAGAAGGCCCAGTGGAACAGAGTGCACATGCTTGCATCAAGACCTGAGTTTGAATTCCTTGCACCCACATAAAAGGCAGGCATGGCTGTGCATGCCTGTAACAGCAGTGCTGGGTGGAACCGAACCCAGGTCCCCTCTAAGGGCAGCCAGTGCTTTAATGGCCGAGCCATTTCTCCAGCCCCTCTGAAAAAGTTTTAAATGAAAAAAATTAACAAACCACCAAGTGCATAGAAGAGAAGGCCTTCAGTTCAGGTTTGTTGTGTAAGAAATAGAAACAAGGGCCAGTTATGGTGGCGCATGCCTTTAATCCCAGAACTGGGATGGCAGAGGCAGGCAGATCTCTGTGCATTTGAGGCCAGCCTGGTCTACATAGTGAGTTCTAGGCCAGCCAGGGTTACATAGTGAGATCCTGTCTCAAAACCAAAATGAAACAAAGAAATAGAAACAAAACATGGAAACATTATTTCTGCTTAGGAATTTCTGGATATTACACATTTCTTTTTTGCATTTCATTAATTTGAATGGACATATTTGTTAAATCAGAAAGCATTATTAAAATTCCAGATCTCATAAAGTTATGAGATTTTGAGGGGACAGGAAAAGAAAATGGTATTTAAAAGTCTTTTTATTTAGTTTTTAAAAGATTTATTTTATTTTTAATTGTGCATGTGTGCATGTGTGTATGAGTGTGTGAATGTGTGTCCAGGTACCTACAGAGCCCAGAGGTGTTCAATTTTCATGGAGCTGGAGTTGTATAGGTGGATGGTACCGGGAACTGAACTGAGGTCCTCTGCAGGAGCAGTATGTACTCTTGACCACTGAGCATCTCTCCCATTCCAGGAGACTTCTTTTAAAATATATTCTATATTTCACTTCCAGTTTTAAATTTATTCTATTAAAAAGAACTTTCCATTTCTCTGTGTAATATTTTTTAAAACTATCATTGTGGAATCTTGAATTCTTTTTAAAAATCGAATTGGTTAAAACACATATGTTTTGAGGAATTCTAAGTTTGTGTATTTTTCCCCTGAACCACAAGGCTGTAAGAACCAATTCAAATGCCATCCCAACCTTGCACGCTATTTTACCTTGTGGTGTTTAACCCCACAAATTTTAGGGAGTCAAGATTGATTTTGATTTGCCCAAATACCTACCATTCTTTGCTACCCCTTCTTTTTGTAACTATTTCTTTTCGTATCTGGCGGGGGGCTCTGGCAGTATGCGCACAAGTGTGCTCGCCCATACATGGGAGTGCGTGCCAGAGGTGGGTGTTGGATGTCTTTATCTCTCTGCTTTGTTTCCTGCCCCAACCACCTCTCCAGCCCACCTTTCCTATCTCAGATCTCCTTCTCTGTCTCTCTTTTCCTTCTTACCTTTCTAAGAGTCTGTTGGCAATGGACTATTTCCTTTTGCCTGGGCATCTGGTAGTTCACTACCAGTTTTCTCTTCAGCTGGACCAACTGCTGGCCTCAAACCAGCAAGAGGGGTAGCTGGCTGCTCGCTGGGGGCCATCAGTGCTGCTTGCTGGGAGCCATCAGTGCTCCTTGCTGGGGACTGTCTGTGGTCGTTTATCCCCTCTACTCAGAGTCAAGGGCACACAGGAAAGATTCCTCGGGGGACTTTACCCAATGTGTGTTTGCTTTCTTGGTTAGTACTTTTAGTTTACTGAGACATGGTCTCCCTGTGTAGCCCAGACTGGTCTTTGGACTTGTAAATGCTCATGCTCATGTCTCCAAAGTGCGGGGATTACAGGCTTATGCTGTCACACGTAACTGGTTTTTGTTTCTGGTTTTGACAGGGTTGTGCCATGTACCCAAGATTGGCCCTATACTGATGGCAATCCTCCTGCCTCAGCCTCCTCAGTGCTAGGATTATAGTCATGAACAGCCATGGCTTGCTCTTAGCGCTTTTTAATGAAGTTCCTCATTTCACTCAAGTATTGCTATTTGGGTTTTAGTTGTAAACAGGTGTCTCAGCCAGATTTTCCACTTTGTGGGGAGTCCCAGGTTTGTCCTGTGTTGCCCTGGAGTGCGGCTCTCTGACAAAGCTTGTCTGTGAGGTCGGAGCTCAGCAGGTACATCGAGGACACATTTGGTTTCTGTCCTGTGTTACCTCCCTGATGTCTGCTTTTTTATCACACGGGGTCTCATCGAAGCCTTCCCACTTTCTTGACAGCTCTGTTGTATATTTAAAGAGATGTCTGCACGGTGCCCTGAATTATTTATTTTATGTGTGTCAGGGTTTTGCCTGCATGTAAGTGCGCCCGTGTCGTGCAGTGCCGATGGAAGTCAGAAAAGGGCATCAGATCCCCCGGAACTGGAGTTATGGTCAGTTATTAACTGCCATGTGGGTGCTGGGAACTGAACCTAGATGTTCTGCAAGAGCAGTCAGTGCTCTTACCCTCTGAGCCACCTCTCCAGTCCCTGCGTTTCATACATTTAATGCAAAGATATTTCTGCTTTGCGTGTTGACGCTAATAGAAGTCTCTCATCTTTTGTTTCCCTTCTGAGCTTCCCAAGGAAAGCATGGTGGTCCTCTTAAGTGGCCTGGAGGGAATACAGTGATCCACCTCTGCCAAGTTCTGCTCAAGCAATTGCCATCACCAGAGCAAGGCTCAAACACCCTGTAAAATGTGTTTTTTAAAAAATCCAATTAAGTTCCATTTTCAGATGCTGAACCACAAGCAAAGAGTATAACTCAACTCCAAAGTATCTGATACAGTTTGGTAGTGTGGTTTGAATGTGAGATGCCCCCCACAGGCTCAGCTTTGAACATTTGGTCCCTAGCTGATGGAACCGTTAGGAGGAGCCTTGCGGGAGGAGGTGCATCACTGGGGGTGGGCCTAGGGTTTCCATAGACTGATCAGACCTCTTGTCCTTTCTCTGCTTCCTGACTGCAGGCCCAGCGTGACAGGATCTGCAGACTGCTGTCCACTTCCTGATGGACTGTATTCCCTTAAACTGTGAACCAAAAGAAACTTCCTCCATGAAACTTCTTCCTGTCAGATATTTGGTCACAAGTGAAGTCACTCTGTCTTTCGTGTGTTTCAGATCTGGCGCCGATATGACGCAGACAGCAGTGGCTTCATATCGGCAGCTGAGCTTTGTGTACGTGTCACCAGGGCTGCTGCTGCGCAAAGGCCGGGTTTGTTTGTCGCTAGGAGTTTGGTATATGTGTCACGAGCTTGAGTTCTGCAGGTCCCAGACACATGAAGAAAGGGCATTTATGCTAAGATCTAGAAAGCAAGATGCCAAGGTAGCTCAGATGGTGGATGTGCTCGCTATGCAAACTCTGAGAATCTGAATTTGATACCCCAAACCTACCTGAAGGTGGAAGGAGAGAAGCAACTCCATAAAGTTGTCTTCTGATCTCCACATGCACACTGTGACATGCATGCAGGCCCCATCTCTCGCTCTGTCTCTGTCTCTCTCTCACACACAACAATAATAATGATACATTTAAAAAATTTATTTATTTATTATTTTTATTTGATGTGTATGTATGTATTGCCTGCATGTAGGTAAAGTGCACCCGTGTTGTGCAGTGCCCGTGGAGGTCAGAAGAAGTTGTCGGATCCCTTGGGACTGGAGTTACAGACAGCTGTTAGCTGCCATGTGAGTGCTGGGATTCGAACCCGGGTCTTCTGCAAGAACAACCAGTGTTCTTAACCGCTGAGCCATCTCTCCAGCCCAATGATACATTTTTTTAACAGTTAAAGAAAAAAAGCTTAGAAAGTGCTTGTCACATTGCTGTCTTTGGAAGGAGGTGAAGTGGATCTCGTATGACACTTTCTTTGTGCTTGGAGCTCTTCTCTGGGTTCCAAGAACGTCCTCCAACAGTGACAACCTCGTGTTTCCTCCTTGAAGCGAGCCAGAGAAAGGGCCCTAGAACATTTGCATGTCATTTGCTCCCAGTATAAAATGTCACTTTTCTCTCCGTGTCACAGAACTTCCTCCGAGACCTCTTCCTTCACCACAAAAAGGCCATTTCTGAGGCTAAACTGGAGGAGTACACCGGCACCATGGTGAGTAACGGAGCTGCATCACCGGCAGCACCTGCAGCCACCTCGAGGCCCCGCGAAGTGTAGACCAATTGGAGGCACAGGAAGAGCCCAACAACACCAGTTAAAACTAACCTGTTGTTGCTTTTCTCCTGGAAACACTCTGATTATACTTAGGAGAGGAAGCTGTTCACGCGTCTTTGGGGAGGCCAGGAAAGTCCAGTCACCACTAGGTTTCGAAGCACCTTGGTAGCAAACGCAACAATAACTCAGGTCACACAGGGCACTGCTAACACTCGTCTTATGAAACAAGCAACGTTGGGGCGTTTCTTTAGGTCTTGGTTACAGAAAGCGTGCGCAAGCCCACTAGTCTGACTTCCTTCCGCTGAGTCTGCAAGTTCGGAGTAGAGTGGGCATTGTGGGGAGAGGCCGCTTCCACCGTCGTCCTGATGGTGGGGTCCATGTTTGCTTGTCTCTGTACCTGTGGTGAGCATTTGGGATGCACCCACTGAGAGGAATGTACGTTTCTGTTAAAATGTGGGCTACTGGGTTGATGCATAGGCATATGTGTGGGCATGTACACACGAGACACATGCATGTGAAGGTGCTGGGATTACAGCAGGGATCTGTCTGTCTCTGCTAATCCAGTGCCGGGATTACAGCAAGCCATGACTTTTGGCTTTTTTCTTTGGGTTCTGGGGATCGAACTCTGGTCCTTGTGCTGTGCTTGCAAGGCAAGCGCTTTACCAACTGAGATATCTCCCCACCTTTGCAGTAACCAAATACGGGAACTCGTTTTAAAGATCAGCTAAACCAAAGGCACCAGTAAACCTGGAGGCCAGGCTTCCCTGATATTCAACCTTGGACCTTTCCTGCCTCTCACTCTGGACTCAGTGCTGACCCAGGACAAGCCAGCCTGTGCTGGGAAGGATGAAAGCTCTTTACTGTGATGACTTGTAAATGACTTGGATGGGAGAAAAGATGTTGCCAGGACAGAATCAAATCCCAGGGCAGGATCTCAGGGAAGAGGGTTGGCTTCTCCGCACACTAGTTTGCTTTAATGACATGCAAAATGATGCTGGGGATCCTGAATAAACCCAAGGTTAGCACTGAAGGTAGAGATGGAAAAGTCCTCAGAGCAGAAAGTGGTTCAGGGTAGTCTCCAAGTTCCATCTGACTCAAGCTCCAGGGAAACCCAGTCATAGCAAACATGAGAAGAAATTACATGACATTCTTTCAGGGTCCAGACAAGGAGGTGGTTTTCCAACTCGAACATAGTTTAAACATCAGTTGAATAGAATATTAGCCTGGCTGTTGTTATCTTGGTTTAATTAATTTATAAAACATGACCTACACAATGAATGTATTTACATTTCAAACCACTAGCAGGTTTCTGGTATTTCTCTGGCATAAAGCTGTTTAAATAGCTAGGTCTTACTCACCTCCGGTTAACAGTCCCAAACCCCTGCTTTCTGACTAACGTAGCTCAGCTCTTTTTTTCCTACGTTTCCTCATCAGCCTCTTGTTCATCCTGTGAGACTCAGATGTTATCTATCTCCTAGACGTCTTCATAACCGCCTTTCACAGTGAAGCCCAGCCTGATTCTCTATTTAGTTGATTGACCACCTTTGCATTGTAGTCACTCATTTAATCCATCCCACAAATATTTGTTAAGTGCTTATCACATCCCAGACACTATTCTGGTCACTGGAGATTTGTAAATAGAGAAAAGGGAGATTGGCAATGAGCAATAGGTGTAATAAGTAATAAATTCTGTTGTAGGACAGAGAGTGAGTGAAAAGAAGAGCAAGGCAGAGATGGACGCCCCAACTGTGGTGGAGAATCGGGGGTGTCCTTGTGTCGTTTTCTGTTGCTGTGATAAAACACCCTGACAAAAAGCAGCCTAGGGAAGAAAGGGTAGAGGCTTTAGTTCACAGTTCCAGGTTACAGCCCGTCTCAGTGGGGAAGCCAAGGCAGCAGGAGCTTAAAACATCTGGTCACAGCACATCCACGGTCACTGGCTCGCTTATGCTCAGGCCACTGTCTCCACCTCCTGCAGTCAGGAGCCCCTGCCTAGGGAATGGTGCTGGCCACAGTGGGCTCAGTCTGCCCATATCAATTAACTTATTAAGACACCCCTTCCAGACATGCCCACACATGCCTATGTTGACAATCCCTTGTTTAGACTTTCCTCCCGGGTGATTCTAGGCTGTGTCAAGTTGACAAAGTAAACCATCATAGGGAGACGGTAGAATTTCCAGTCCTGTATCATGGTGTTCCCTTGGAAAGGTGAGATGTGAGTGGGGTTGGAGCGGAAGGGGGTGCAGGACCCCAGGGCAGGACAGTGCCTGGGCTGGCTTAAAACAAAGAGAATCTGTGTGGATGCAGCAGTCAGCCAGGATGGGTGCAAACAAGGACAGGCTCCTGGGAGGGCTCGGGGTTCAGGCTGAGTAGGACGGGGAGCTGCTGAAGGGTTTGGTGCACACGATGCTGATTTGGCTGCTGTGTCGACTATAGCCCAGGAGAGACAGGGAGGGAATGAAGGCCTGACGGGGGCCATGGCTGCCATCCAGGAGGGTGAGGTTGCAGCTTGGGCTGCCAGTGCGGGGTAGAGAAATGAAAACTAAATGTATTTTAAGGTGGAATCAACAAGACTTACTGCCCTATTGAGGGCATCAAGGCTGACCGATGGGACCTGTTATGGGTGCTGTACCCTCTAGCTTATGGCGCCATTTTATCTCTATGTCCCTCACGGGGTCTGATGGCCAGATGGTTGATTAATGTAAACTAAATGAATTCTCATTTGTTACCTATGAACCAGCTATGACCAGACCGTGATACAATGAGCAGTGTTTCCCCTGGGGAGGCTCCTGCACGCCTTGTCTGTGTTCCTCATCGCCCTGTACCTCAGCGGCTCCTGCCTCCTCTAGCAGTGCCCATCAGGTTCAACACAGCACATTTCAGCATTTGACACAGATGGCGTTTCTCTAACAGGACCTTAAATTAGACCCTCCAGGGTCTAGTAGACATGGAGCCTGGCAGGCCTGAACCCTGCTCTTCATGGCTCTTGTTGGGCTCCTTCACTGCAGAGTGTCAGGTAGCAGGATCCTGGGCACTGGGTATGAGCCCTGCTGAGCTCCTAAGGCAGAGCTGGCTGGAGAGACAGGCCCACAGGCCCAAGCTGAGGATGGAGGAGGAGGAGGGAAATGGGGACTAGCCTGGAAGGACAGCTAGACCTGGAGGCAGCCAGGAGGCATCCAGAGTGATTTCAGAAAGGTCAGAGCAGTACAGGACAAGGATGCGTCCCTGAGGACTAGAAGTCAGATCAGACCAGTTCATTAAAGTGGGCCTGACTCATCCTGGGCTGGGGCTGGGGGTTTAAAGTCCACAGCCCAGTTGTAGCAAATAGAAAAGGACTTTGTCAGAGACCAAAGAAAACATGGGAGGAGGTATGGCAGATGTTAGGAAAGGGGG